GCAATGCATTAAGTCCACAGCATTTTCATTCCTCTCTAGAAGTGTATTCCTCTTTTTCCAACTGATACACTTAAAAGATTACATGCAATGGACTAGGTTTACATGGCTTGAGGCTATCAAAGGAAAGCTTAAAGCAAACTAAGTACACTGGTTCCCTCCTAGGCTCCTGGAAGTTCTCAGCTACCTTCTGCAAAAGACAGCAATATCAAAATTATTCCCAGCTTGAGCCTTCTTGCTCCAAATGTTTCCCCCTCAGCCACCCAAATTACTGTACTGAAGCCTCACTGCAAAATTCTACATGATGAAGATTGTGAAACAAATGTTTTCTTTCCTGAGACCTGTGGGATTTGTGCAACTCGTGTGGAATTCTTACCCAATGCCTTGGATCTGCAACTGAGGCTGGGTTCCTGAGTCCTTAGTTTTCACTGTCTGATAAGTAACAATAGTACAAACAGTGCTTCCTGCTCCCATGTCGTAAAACATGATATTCTGAAAAGAAAAGTTGGGACAGTGAAGCAGAAACCTGGGCATCCCCCCACGAATAAGTAAAGAACCTTTCATGTGATACAGGCCCCAACTACCTACTCCCTGGACTGACTTTATACCCTAAGGGCAGGACTCGTATTTTGACCAAACACGGGTGATGTTCAGAGTCATGTCTGACAGAAGGAGACAAGAAAACTTCTAATCTATTTCACAGTTCAAAACACAAAGTTTTGTTCTTTCTTCAGCCTCAGGTAAATCAAGTTCTTCTGAGTCGGTGTTCCAATACTTCAAATAATCACTGCTGTTATTTTCCCCAGCTGATGGGCAAGGAACAGGTTTACAAAATGGGAACTCCCAGGACATGCCTTCACTCAGCAGCTTTCAGGCTTCACCATACATGCACACAGCATTTAATCTCTTTGTCTTGTTGACAAACACATGAAAACAGAGGGGACTGCTTGACCCGCAGACTCTACTTCAAGTTCTTTGGATTTCTTCTGCAGCACTTTCTCCCCTGCACGCAGGCAACTTGGCAGGACTCTGCATCTCTCAAATGCACCTACCTGTGCCGTGGCATTGATGTCTTTCCTCCTGAAAACCCCGTAGTTCAATGCTACAGCCGTGTTGTCGTTGATCAGCTGCAGCACCTTGAGGTCAGCCATGCGGGCGGCGTGCAGAACTGCTCTCCTCTCTGCCTGGTTGAAGTAGGCAGGAACTGTGATCACTGCATCTTTGATGGGCTGCTCTGAAACAGTTGCAGGGAACTCTGCATCAGTGTAGCCACATGCAAGGACTTGTTGAGATGGAGTGACAGCAGCAAACCCACAGGACACAAGGTGAAGACTCACACAGAATGCAACCCTGCAGCAGTAGCCAGGATCCCTAGGGACAAATCTCTGTATCCTGCTGAAACCAAGCAGACCTGGCATATTCACACTAAGGAACAAGTCTACTGACCACTCTTTCATGTGTCAGGATACTCTCAAATGCTCTGGGTACCTTCCATTCCAACAAATACTATTTTCATGGAGCCTTACACCGCCACTGAATCAGTCACTCCCCAGTCTTTGGACTGGCTGTAGTGTCACTGACCACATGATAAAGCCTCCTAGTAATTTATCTACTTTTCATTACTATGGTATTTCATTAGCAACTCAGCATGAAGCATGCATGACAGCCTCCTCTGTTAGCAAGTCTCACAGCAAAAGGCCATTTTCGCTCTTTTAGTTCAGCTCAAACAGCAAGTTTCCATCCAGAACAGGTACAGCACAGCCTTCACAGAGCCATTTCTACCCTTCCCTGCAGCCACATCCCATGTGCCTCCACTCTGATCACACACTTGATAAAGAAAACACTCTTCTCCACACACTGCCTGTAAGGCTCCTTCATTGCGAGCTAGGTGATAAACGGAGTGTCTGCCCCCAAGATCCCAAACGTGCATCATATTAGAAACAAAAGATAACTGGATAGCTTCTAAGTCTTGCTTACAGCCTACAGGTAGAGAGAACCAAAATCCTGTTTCCAAAAACCTTGGGTTCCTGAACACTTTTGGTCTTTACTCAAATCCTATAGTGTACGAACACATACACATGTAGACAAGAAAAAGCCAAATCCTTCCAACCTGCAAATTCCTCAGCCAGACCACGTGAATAGTTCAGGACCATCCCCAGCATCTCCTCGGGAGAATACCATATCGTTCTGCAATGGGAAAGAAAACGATGGCATCAACAGAGAGTGCAGAAGCCTGGTAGCTGACGTCCACCCCACAAAGACCCTAAAAGCACCCACTTACGGGGACAACTTGAAGATAACAGTCTGTCTCATCTCATCCTTCACCAGCTCGTGCTCCGGGAAGCGGGACTGGTACAGCGCCACGTGGGGGTTATCGATCCGCTTACCCAGCAGATCCTGGAAGTATCGGAATGCCACCTTGGGCGTCCTTATGGACTGCAGGAAAAAAAACCACATCACCCACTTGCATTCCTTCAGCTGCGCTGCTGCCAAACCAATCCCTCCCAGACTATGTGGGGAACAACTCTTGCTATGGGAGCAGGAGCACACAGCCACTACACAGAGGCAGCAACACATCAAGGAGATGAGCAGGACAACGATAAAACACTGGCTCAGACGTTTGTCACAAGGCGGGATGCACGTGTTCTGCCAACAGGAATTCTTACCATCCCCAGCGCGCCATCACCAAAGAGACGCTCGTTCTCCTTCAAGGAAACGGCCACGGGTGTTTTCCTTCGTGACTCCCTGCGAACAGAGAGGGAGGAATAAACCAGTGGAAACAGGTGAACATTCCAGCCTCCAGTGAAGACTGAGCTTGTTCTCATTCCAGAAGGACTAAGGGAAGGTGCTTGGAGAGGGGGGCCAGCCTCTGCTCAGCTGAGGGGCTACCAGACAACCCCCCCTCCCACCTCTTCAGTGCTTTGATGAGACTATTTTTTGCTTTCCTCCACCCATAAGCAAGGTAAGACAGCTCCCTTATTCTATCTAGGACTGCTAAATTTCAGGGAGGTGGGTGAGAAATCTCCTTGTTATCTGCAGACTCCCAGAAACCGAGGGCATTCCTAATCATATGTCCGCTCTCACCTGCAGATTCTTCACTCAGTGGCTTGAGGAGGGGCTGCAGCAGCAGCTGAATACAAGAGATTTACCAGTGTTACAAGTGCAAGCTTTGAACAGCTGCAGCAAAACAAACCTGGCTCTGGGCTCCCTTAGGGGAACTACGAATCAGGGGACTGGGTGCCCTTTTGGGCTGGCACCACAACGTGTCCTTAACCACGTGGGCTTTTGGCACAGGCTGGAAAGGTACCCAGAGCGCACTCGAACACCTTAAAGGTGAGTTAAGCTGCCCTGGAGGATGCCCACCCGGGGCAAGACTGAGTCACAAGCCTGCGTGGGAGGATGGAGCCTTCCTCGGGCACCGGAGCAGCAGGACGGCCGAGCCCCAGCCGGCCTCGCTGTCCGCCCGCTGGTGGGGGCTGCAGCCGCGCAGGCCAGGCCGGACCCCCGGACCCTCCCGCGGCCGCTCACTTGTTCAGGACGATCTCCATGGGCACTCCAGGCTTCACGATGGCGATCTTCATCGACTCGCTGCCCACGTCCACCGACATCACCGCCACCGGCTCTGTAGACAAACCCTCGGTGAGAGCCTGCTCCTGGCGTGGGCGGCCGAGACCCGCACGGGCCCGGACAGGGCGCTAGGGAGGCCCCCAAGCACCGGCCGCTCCTCCCGCCGCCCCGCGCCCGCCCCGCCGGCGTCGCGGCCCAGGCAGGG